TTCCGCAATGAATGATTTTGGGATAAACTCTGATAAATGTTTTACTTGATGATGATTTGAAACGTTTGGAATAAATGGTATCAATGTTTTAGCTATATTAAAAATGAAATTTTTACCCTTGATTTTTGGGTCGTTACATTATGTTTCAGGTTCTTCCGGTTCCAAGGGGAAGAGCTCGGGTTGACTACATTGTACACATCGCATGGATTCCGCTTTTGTGTTATACTCTGATTTTAGGATGATGTTAATACACTTATTTTATTTGGATATGTATTGACGATGTTTTGGAATACTTTTTTATTAAAGTAAAAATGAAATTTTTGGGTCATACTTTTAGGACGTTACAAATACCCATCACAGCCGAATACATCTTATGTTTGGAGAAAACTATGGCACCATCATTATTTGACCGATTCGTGAATTATGTTACTGATATAAATGAAGGAAGAGTCACGGATGAGAACACATTAGTAATGATTGTCCCACGTAGGATGTCGCGATCAAAATCGGAAGGAAACGGTCATAAGGACTAAATATGTATAAAAACATTATATATAATGTCGGTGGCTCCTTCTTTTAGTTTTCATTCCTTTCACTTTTTTTAATTTTCCATTTTAAACCTTTTTCTTCCATGTTTTTTTTGCTATTGACCTTTACTTTATAAAATGACATTTTATACCCCTCTACTTTTTAAAATGTTATTTTTACCTATCGATTTTGCATTTTGTATATTGTCATTTTCATCCATTCATTTTCAATAGAGATCACAGGCTGCTATTTGAAATCGCAGTTTTCGCGGTGGCATAACAATGCTATAGCAGTTTTTTTTTAATATTACATATAATTTAATAATTTTATATTATATTTTTATAGAATCTATATATTTGAGTATTAAGTATTAACACTATAAGTCTATATAGAATTAATATCATAAAACCTAAAAAGTCATATAAAAACATAACATAATATTCAAAATTCTAATATAGTAATATAGAAACTACATAGTGTCAAAGTGTCAAATAAAGTTTAATAGCATGGCACGGGTTCAACTTCCGAGTCAACATCATCCAAGGCATTCACCTCTTCATCAAGATCATTCCCCACATCTCTAATATCATCATCATCATCTCTATAATGCTCTCGTTTGCTCCTAATATTTGGTTGAGCGTCTACATTCGCTCCCATTGCTTCTTGCATATCTAACCAAAGAAGGTCATCACCACCATCCACAAAGTCTTGAAGCTCATCTTCCGTTGGTATTGTCCATTCATCATTCTCCTCAACATCTCGTAGCAAAATAGGATCCAAAGATCTATTTTGTAAAGACATGAAGCGCTTTTGCAACCTTATGTTGTATTGGATGAATACAAGTTCATATAGTTTTTGTTGCAAAAGACAATTTCTTTTCTTAGAATGTAGCTGCAACAAAAGAATTAAAAATATTTTAGTTAATATGTTAGATGTTCCAATCAAACTAATATCATTTATAATTATAAAAATACTTGTTAAAAATAGGTAAAAAACTTACATCGTCAAATGTACTCCAATTTTGTTCATAAGGTGAAGCACTACAAGTTTGACTAAGGTCCCGTTTGATAGTTTTTTTGTCTGGGAAAGTGTTGTATGGTAAAGTGCTGCCTGGGAAAGAAACCATGTTGTTTGATTGTACATCCGATTGATTGTGCTGAATGATGAAAAATAACCCGGTTTATGTCCGATAGTGGTGGGATGGATGAGATTTTTTAAAATAAATTAGGATGGTGGTGGTGTTGTAAAAAAAAAGAATTAATCCAATAAAAATGAATTAAAAAAATTAACTAAAAGAAATTAATAATCCAATAAG